CTTGACACTAGCGCACCCCACCTCAGCGCGGTATTTCTTGGATCCACTCTATTAATGCCAGCTCTTACCCTTCTTCTAGGGACATAGTAACCAAGGGCGCGAAAATGGCCACGCATATATGACTCTCCAGTTGTGCTGCCGTGATTGCCTATATATGCATGGATGATACCATCTATTTGTTCGTCGGTAATACTTGAAAAACGTGATAAGCCTTGCAATCCATATGATTGTACTCTGCGCATTACTGTCCAACGGGAGACACGAAACATTTTTGCAATTTGTTCCCAGGCGAAACCAACACCTCGTAAGTCTTCCAATAATTCAAATGGTATATTAACACTAGGTCTGCCTGCTCCTTCTGACGGTGTTATTTGATGCGGTATGAATGAAATACGTGTTATGCGAGATGAACTGTTTCCGAAATGTCTCAGAAATGAATCAAGCAGCTGAACAAAAACTGCTCGTAAGCCTTCAAGTACCTGCAAGTCAGCTTCATTTGAAACCACTTGTGATATTTGGACAGGTAGTATTGCCGTTCTTTCAAGCAAATCAACGTGGGAAAGAACACTCGACCTGTATTCTTCGTCGTCACTACGAACTATGCGTTCAGCAAATTCTTCTGTTCTATTCAAAACACGTATGAAAAATTCCTCAAATCCTAACTCTTCACTCCAATCCATAAAAATTACTAGAACCAAACTTAACACTTTTCAGTTTAAAATGAATAGAGGAAATGAATATGTATTTTTTTAATATATTTAACTGCGTAAATGCAAAGCAATTGAAGCAATATGGTTTCCCAGAAAAATGGCGGGAAATCCAGAGTCGATGTTTCCATATATTGCTTTCTAATATTCAGTTTTCCGATTAAATTTCGCTTGCCGACTTACTGCCGAGAGCCAACGTCTTTTTCTGAGCGAGTGTTGCAGGATTGAATGTATATTGCAGGATTAAATTGAATGAATATTGCAGGATTAAATTGAATGTATATTGCAGGATTAAATTGAATGAATATTGCAGGATTAAATTGAATGTATATTGCAGGATTAAATTGAATGAATATTGCAGGATTAAATTGAATGTATATTGCAGGATTAAATTGAATGAATATTGCAAGATTAAATTGAATGTATATTACAGGATTAAATTGAACGTATATTGCAGGATTAAATTGAATGAATATTGCAGGGTTAAATTGAACGTATATTGCAGGATTAAATTGAATGAATATTGCAGGATTAAATTGAATGTATATTACAGGATTAAATTAAATGAATATTGCAGGATTAAATTGAATGAATATATGTATTTATATTAAATTGAATAGATGTGATGTTTTAAATTGAATGAAATTCAGGAGAATGAATATTGCTACAAATTTATATACAGTCCCTTCAAAGTGTTATTTTTTGCAAATTCGTACTTTGTCAAACAAATCGTCGAATAGAATAACACACATATAAATGAATATTGTTCAGAGCCGTACGAACTACGAAGAGGGGTAGGATGGGGGAGAGACAGCATTGGCGGTGTTTTTAGATCTATAAAGTGCAATAAATTTAAGTGTGTAATTGCTTATTGAGCAGACAGGCCGTTTGCATCATTATAATGTTGTCTCCTTTGCCAGAAATCTAATTTGTGACAGATCGGAAAGAGAAGAATTTTTTTCAATAGGCATTGAATATTTGGGACAATTATACTAAATATATATCTATATATAAACCGTTCTTAACGCACAATTGGGCTGAATAATAAAGTTTTAAAAAATATGTGTTCAAGAGAGAAGAAGAACTAACAACAGGATTTCAATTGTTGTTTGCTTTTGACAAAAGTTATATAAACTAAGATGCTGTCTCTTTTAAAAGCAAACCCCATAATATATTCTAAAAAGTTAGAGAAGAAACCAAAGACTATATATATATATAAGCTTTTTATTAAGAGGATTAGAATCGCTGGAATTCTAAATTTTCTCATTTTTGTTCTCGTTATTTTATCTTCATGACTTTATTTTTATAATACTTGTTTGTCTGTATTGATATTTCGCCCAAATTTGAGACATCAGAGTTGTTATATATTTTAATTTTATCTGCGCACAAATTAAAATAAACTCGGACTACATGCCACGATCAACATAACACTATGACTATATACAGTTCAGTTTCCACTTTCCAGACTATCATATCTTGCTGGACTATTCCCTGTTTTCACTCCAATCAGTGGATTAGGTAAATAAGTTTATCATCAGCCGAGTTATAATGACCAGTCTTACAATGTATTAGGACTTTTAAGGGCAAGATGCAATAATTTCCATTTCATGTATATTTTTCACGAAGGTCGACAGATATGGTGAATAATACTAATTTGAGGGGATTACTAACAGCCTAATATATAACTGTTCTTAAACACGACCGGATTTGCAGGGTATGTGTGGGAGTACTGCATTTATAATTTAAGCAACAGCATGCACAGACAAACAAACTATATATATATATATATATATATATATATATATATATATATATATATATATATATATATATATATATATATATATATATATATATATATGCCTAGGACAAGCAACGACAAAACATGCCCTTGAGTTTAAGGAAGCGTGGCATAGTATAGGTAAACTAACACTTAACCGTCATATTGACATTCTTGTAATATAGGCCTATACTTACAACAACTAAAGTGCTCGCACAAAATTCCTAATTCATCTTTATTAACCTTTAACCCACCCGCATCTTCCCTCTCGACATCATCTCGCGATGATAAAAAATCATTCTATGGCAACCAACGACAATCCATCCACCGAAATCAAACAGCATCGATTCTTCCATTTATATCTGGCATAACAACTAAGTCTATATATAATTTCGCATCTGATAAAAATATTCCTTATTACGATTAATTTTATCTCTAATCGAGGTAAATGGGTCATAATTTAGGCGCAGATTGGAATGATCACGGAAATGGTATGAGGAATGAGTAACGGATGTTTTGGAATTTGTTTGCGCGCGCAATTCTGAAATTATTCTGCATACCACTACATTATTTTACATATCCGGTATTTAAGGGAAATTAACAATTATTAGACTTTTTTTTGTGTCCTTGAAATCCCACACTCTATTGTGCCCAAGCATACATGCATGCATATCTGTATCCCACATGCATCCTTCGCGAAATCGATTCTCCATTATAACAGTAATACAATATATAATACGTTTGCGATGATATCTCGAGTGCGGGGTTTCATTGTATACTGTATGTTAATCCTACAAATCCTTCGAAAATATTTCAGTTTGTATCTACTGTAGACCAGAGGAAGAGTCGTCGATCGAAAGTTCGAAGTTCTTTTTGTAATTTTCTGGTAGTTGTCGAAGGGCTTTCGTTCTAAAATTTGAAGCTTTTTTTGTATTTTTCAGGTATATAGTTGTATCTTCACCTACCCTGGTACCATAGCCATATGATGGCTTTGAAGTCCACAATGATTTCTGTTTTGTTTTCAGACCATTATGTCTTCATTGACTATGCTGGCACCCAATGGGCGATGTGTTACTCCAAACATGAAACAGTACAAACAATGATTTTTAATTTGTCTGTGTTGGTGTTATCCACTCAGGTGAATATGCATGTTTGTGATGTTACTCTGAATGTGTATCCACACCGGGCAAGCTTGAAAAATAAGCCTGGCCACGCGCAGTATTCCAAAGTTCGTAGGTTCGATTCCCACCATGGCCTGCATGCAGGCATATTTTTCAAGCTTTTCAGGTGTGGATATACACTCAGAGTAACATCACAAACATAGCACAAACAATTAATGATCGAATACATTTATACAACAAAATTAAAATGTAGAGCATATTGGAATTAACCAAGTGTTGCCGGCCATTTGACAACATTTATGGATATAATTATTCGTACCAGACAAACTCTATACGTCTCTACGCACGCAGTATGAAGCAATTCTACAGCAAAACTACGAAAATGCTAAAGATTGTGCGAGCAACCTTTCATTCATATAAAGGGGACTCCGTTTATAAGTCTTTTGAGTAATATAGTGCTACACATAATGACCATTTTTTATAGTCCGACAATGTGTTAGGAGATTTAGGGCAACCAAATTATGCATAATTTCCATTTTATAATTATCGGGGGTTTTATTTTATCTTCACGAATTTATTTTTATTAGCTATATACTTTGTTTTTCTGTGCATGCAACGTTTTGCTTCAAATATAAATGCAGTACTCCCACACACCTCCTGCATGGAAAGCCGTTATGTTTAGAAATAGTATTAGGCTGTTAGTAGTCTCCTCAAATTATTATTATTCACTATATTTGTTGACTTTGGTAACAAATATAATGGATTAAATTAATGTTTTGCTCAAATTAAGTGTAGAGATGGGATATAATAGTTTTGTTTGTGGAAACACCACGTAAATTTATTACTGCAAAGCTTAATATCGGATCGAAAACTTTTCAGTAATAAATTTACGTGGTGTTCCACAAACAAAACTATTATATTTTCTATCGCCATGCAAACATACACAGAACTTAAGATGGGACATATCGTGCATCGAAAACGTTCCATATGTACTATATATATATGTAAACACAGTACATATTAGAATAGTAAGACATTTATTTTTAAATGAAACAACAATATTATTTTTATGTTTTGCTTCTGTCAAAAAGTCACAAGCAACGGCTTGTCGTAAAACAGAGAAATTTAGAAATATTTTATTCAATCTTCCCATGACTGCTCGCCTTACAGAGCCGTCATGCGTATATAGCAAAATTATATGTTACAAATTGTCTTGAATATACAAAATCACAATTCTCTCTAGACTCCCTAGCCCGACATGCACTCATGATAAACGTGCTAAAGGTGTTTGATACATGAGGGGGGAGTTCCACCAGTTGCGCAGGTTTTCACTTTGGTATTTTACATGAAAAAATCACCTCTAGGCCTTCCTCGTTCGAGGGTTCTTTTCTTACAAAGTCCAAATTCGTACTTTGTCAAACAAATTGTCGAATTGAATAACGCACATACAAATGAATATTGTTCTGGACGCAGAGGGAGGGGCCTGGTGGGGGAGGGACAGCAGGGGTTGTGTTTTTTAGGTCTAAAGTGTAAAAGATTTAATGTGTAAATGCTTATTGAGCAGACAGACTGTCTGTATCATTATAATGTTGTCTCGTTTGGTAGAAATGTAATTTGTGGCACATCGGAAAGAGAAGAATTTTTTCAATAGGGTATTGAGTATTTGCGACAACTATGCTAACTATATCTATAAACTGTTCTTACATGCATAATAGGACTGAATAATAAAGTTTTAAAAAATATGTGTTCAAGAGAGAAGAAAAACTAACAACAGGTTTTTAATTGTTGTTTTCTTTTTGACAAAGGCTAAACTAAGATATTATTGTCCCATTCTATATTCTAAAAAGACAGAAATGTACTATGACTATATGTTGTACTATGACTATATATGACTATATAATGTACTTATTTCATATATATAATGCCGCTTTTGATATATAACCTAGCTAGTTTATCCTGATGATGACTGAAATATAGTCGAAGCGTAGATAAATAAAACTGTTATCGATATTTGGAGTTTCACTTGTTTTGTATTCTATGCCTATATATTACATTAATTAAGAGGTATAGAATCGCCAGAAATACGGAATTCTAGAATGTCTCCGTTTTGTTCTCGTTGTTTATCTTCATGACATTATTTTTATCACACTTGTTTGTCTGTATTGATATTTCTCCCAAATTTGAGGCTATTTTATTATCAATCAGAGCCGTTATATATTTTAATTTTTCCTCGCACAATGATTAACATAAACCAGCTTGAATATTAAACAACGATTAAAATATAAATATTCTGCATGGTATGAATTTAGTAAGCTTGAACTGTATACAGAAATTTGTGTATAAGGAGAAATTGGTGGGATATTCTGCTTTTAACCCGATATTTTAAAGTTTGTTTGTCTTGTATTGTGTAAAGGGTCGCTGTAATTGGGGAAAGCTGTAGCGTATACCCAGCCATGTCAATGTATGTATCGTTTATGTTAATGTAGGTATAGCAAGTGATTTTAAGTTGATTTGGCAAAGCCTAATAAATAAATAAATAAACTCAAACTACAACATAACACAATTACCTCAGTTCAGTTTCCAATTTCGAAACTATCATATCTTGATAGACTATGCCCTGTTTTCACTCGACTCGGTGGATTATTTTGCAGCTCGGTCCAGCTAGATGCAGGATGGGGTAGTTCTTCCTGTTGTATTCCAGTAGCACACTTCATGGATAATTTGCTAGATGCATGGGGTAGCTCTTCCTGTTGTATTCCTGTAGCACGCTTCATGGATAATTTGCTAGATGAGGTAGCTCTTCTTGTTGTATTCCTGTAGCACGCTTCATGGATAATGCTCAAAGAGTTATAAACTGCACCTCCATCAAGCTTAAAAGGTACACAGTTATTAGGGGAAAAGGAAACGCAGAAGGTTCAAAGAAATATCCTCGAAACATGAACAAGGGAAAAACAACGAAATTATTCTTCCCACATATGTTTTCAAGTATAGGCAAGTTAACCAACATGCATATAATTATAAGTAAACCCTATACCCAACCTTAACTCTCGTGTATGTGCAGGTGTAAACACCCGATACTAAAAAAATATTAGTTTTCTTAGTAAATAATACCTAGCATTCTAAGACTAATTATACGTAGGGTCCCGCACAGAATTGCATTAGCGAGTTCGTAGCGAGAATCGAACCTACGTTCTTAGAGGCGACAAGCGCTTCTTTTTACGATTGCGTTACTGAAGCCCCATATATATAGAAACAATTACAATGACAATTAGAATCATAAAGTATAATACAGTAAGACCCCGCGTATAAGAACATAGCTATAGCCCCTTTCTATATGAACCTGTTTAGGCTAAAATTTCAAACAGGTTCTTATTTTATTTTTTATCTAGTTATCACTCTAAGAGTTACAACTAAAAATTTATAAATTAAACAAATAAACTCTTCACAAAGTAATGAAAATGAGCCAGAAGTAAGAGACTTGGATATGTCATAACATGCACTGAAATAGCATGTCTGTTTCAGGGCCGGATTAACCTAGTGAGAGGCCCAGGGACCACATTGGTGGGGGGCCTCTCCATGTTCTTTGCAAAATTTCTAAATTATTAAAGTTGAATCAAGCTCCAGACCCGAGATCAAAAAATGGAAAATACATTTATTTATATTTAACGGAAATAGGTGATTTTAATAGGTGGTTTCCGTTTTAAAGGGGGGCAAATACTCGTTGAGATATTTACATCGGAAGCAATTGCATGAAAAATATGAAATTTATCGCCAAACGATAAAGAGCTAAACAACTTTTTATATCTAAGATAAGCTAGAATTTTAATAATCAGTTTACGCTTCATGCTGTACGAAATATCACGGAATTTCTCTTAAAGGTAGGTTACAGTAGCATCTGCGCATGCGCGAGGTTTGTTTACGTTTTTTGTTTTGATCATGATCCACTTCAATTATACAACATGACGTACGAGCAATTGTCTAAAATGGTACAGTATTTTTTACAGTAAAAATATTCAACCGAGGAGTGGACTTTTCACAACATTTCGCTTGCTTTTGAATTTCATGTTCGTTTATAAGGTAGCACTTAGATGCCGTCAATAAAGAGACCGCTCTGCCTCTGGATATTTATATGTGTCGGGATATGTATAAAAATCAACAGACGCCAGCCGGATCGTGCGAGCGGCGAAATACCGAAGGACGAAGGTGCGATATCTATTTCGTTTCATGTTTACCTTTGGAACTTGATTGCTTTGAAAGTGTTACATTTATGTGTCTACCATGAAAGTATTTAAGACATTTAAAGCGACATCTCTCCTTCGAAGCATGTTGTCAGAATTGTTGTCGCCGTCATGGCAGAACTATCACAAGAAGGAAGCTTTTCGCTTGATGATTTCGAAAGAAGTATTGTGGAGAATGCGGCTGCATTGCCAAATGTAGACAACCTCACAACATGTAACTGTCGCGGGTATTGTCTTCGAGAGAAAGGCCGAAACTTTTGTCCATGCAAAAGCATTAATAGCTTTTGTTCCGAAGCGTGCCATGGGGACGGTTTTAGTTGTTGCATGAACAATAGGAGAGTGCAAGAAAGTGACTCTGATGATACAGTAAGAACATTTAAAACATTTTTTGTCTTTAAATTTTACAAGTTATCAATTGCAAATATATATATATATAAATATATATATATATATATATATGTATATATATATATATATATATATATGCAATTTAATAGCATTTCTCACGAAGGCCAAATTCGCCATATTGGGGGTACTTTTTTGAAAACGACGTGAAAAATCTAAGCAATGTGAAAACATTTTTTTCAAATATTTAACTGTAAATTAACTTAATATGATTATACTCACAATTATAGTTATACAAATCCCTTATTCACTGCGTACAATCTCAGATTTGGAAAAGGCAGTACCCCAAAAATGGCGACGTGAGAAAGTCTAATTGATTTTTGTTATAAATAATTGTGCATAATTTAATACTAATTCACTTGAATTCAACTCAGTACCATTTGCTATAATTTTAGGATTCTGATTTATATATGCAAGAGGATGAAAGAGAAGGAAATGGGAGTGAAGAAGAAAACAAAAGTGAAGAAGATAACGAAAGTGAAGAAGAAACTGAAAGTGAGAAAGAGCTGGAGATGCAAGAGAATCGAAAGAGAAAGAAGGGGCAAACACGTGGCAGAGGAAGAGGTCGTGCAAGGGGGAGAGGTAGAGTGGCAGACCAAGGGATTGGACAACAAGGAGGTCGTGGACAAAGAGGTTGTGGTAGAGGAAGTCGTGGTAGAGGAAGAAGTCGTGGTAGGGGAGGTCGTGGGCGTTTAATTGAACAGCCAAATGCTGCAGAAATTCTAGCCAACCATGAACAAGAATTGGATGTAAGAAAACTCTTTTTAGTCTGACTGAGCTAGTATTAAAACAGTTAAATACTTTTAAGTTGTTATCCCATATCATTAAGATCAAGGCTAGAAAAATTAAAAATGAGCTGATCTTGATCTTGACCAAGTAGGCCTTTTATTTGAAATATATACTAAAATTTACTAAGAGTCTATTTTTTAGGACCTAATAGAAGCAATGGATTTTGTCAGCCTGAAAGACTTTGCAAAAGCACTGTTGAGGAGGCAGCCAGGAGCATATGCTGATGTTGTGAATGGTGAGTTGCCAGGTGCAAATCAACCCCCACCACCGAGCCCAGAACCAGAAAATCCGGCCCCTGCATGGTGCAACTGTGGACACTGTGTTGTCATGCCAACTCAGGAGGAGAACAAATGCTGTTCTGAAAGACCAGGACGTAGCTGCATCTCAAGAAGCAATCTATTTAGGCAAGTGATTCTTGATGGCAATGTATTGGATCTTGCAATGCGATACAGGGAGGATATGCTTGTTCTAAATGAAGTTAGGAACAATGAAAACTTTCGACATGCAGCATATCGACAATTTGTATTATGGCAATATGGCAAGTTGGGAAGGGGCAACAGAAGAGTTGTTCCGAGCTGCTGTGTCACAACAATACGTGCATCTTACCCTTCGCCGAATGGTATTTATACAGGCTATCGGCCTTCACGTTTGTAGACATTTATTTTGTTAAAGACACACAAGTCACTATTTGAGCAATGGTATTCATTTTAAGGATATTTACAGTTCAAAACTGATATGATATTGTTCTGAAACAAATCCAATTCACAACTATTTGGTTAATTAGTCATTGTAATAAGATTGCTCAAATGTTGACTGTGTGCATATTTGACCCATTAACTGGCAATGTGCCCAACTTTTGTATTTACTCTGTCTAACGCCAGACAATTTTACTCATCAGTGATAGAGTAGCCAGTGAATGGGTTAAGATATAAAAACTAGTTTACTGTCTTACACACATATGAAAGGGACAGACTCCCCATTTGTGCACCTTTCATGCAAATAGAAAATACAAAATATTGTGTTTCACATGGATGTATACAGTGTATACTGTACATATCGTAAGAACACTTTATTTCATGTTTTACTAAAGTTTACATTTCTTTCATTGTTTGTTGGGAATGGAATAAACTATTACTAACTTTTCTCAGAGCAATTTAATTTTTTGTTTAACCATTAACTTCCAATAATTTTCCTTTGATGAGTAAAATCTTTTGGCCTTAGACAGAGTAAGAAAATTAGAAGGGGGTGCATTGTTTGTGAAATGGTTAAGAGATAATATCTGTCTAATTCCATATGATTTTAATTGTCAAAGGAAAAGTCTTTGACTGTCAAATGTGCCCAAATTCACATTAATATTAATTCACATTATACTAATTAGTACTTAATCTGTCTAATGCCAGATGATTTTACTTGTCATTGGTAGAGTACTGCCAGTAAATGGGCTAACAAACCTATCTTAATGTGCCCAAATGCACCCTACTCTGTCTAGGGGCACTGGGGGTGTTGAACATTAATGGGTTAATTATTCATAAGTAACCCATTTTCTTAATTAACCCATTAATGTTCAATACTTTTCCTTGAAAAGTAAAGTTGTTTGGTACAGTATTGGATAGAATAACTACTAAATAGGGACACATCGTGAGTTAGTTTCACAATCCTGATTATATTTGTTATCATGCATGGCTCTTCAGGTGGGAGAAATTTGCTAAATATGCACAGTGTGACTGTTTCGCTCTATATCAGAGCTCATCAGCATGCCTAGGAAACATTGATGAAATCTTGATTAACATCAACGAGACCGACATGGACAGCCTGACCCATGGTGGGGTCTGGGGGTTTGAAATCAGAGTTTTCCTTCTCTTAGATGAACTGCCAACCAAGGCTTATGAGCTCCATCTACCCAAACTCTGATATTCACTTCATCCCTGCAGATCCACGAGTGTCGGTCTCTAAAATCTTGATTTATGTGCCTCAACAAGTGATTTTACTGAAGGAGGATGAACAGGAGCTATATTGGGAGTTATCTGTCTTGGGTCTTCACCCAACAAACCAATTCTCCTATTGACAGTTCCACCAGAACTGATTCTTTTCTCAAAAATCTTGAGCAGGAGCTCTGGAATATGGGTGTATTGCTTTGGCACCAGAACACGAACATGGCACCACCGTTGTGTTCTCTTACTAAACTTACGTCCAAACCTTTAATTAAGTAACCAATTAAAATCTATAAATGCAATTACCAACTACCATATAGTAAATGACAATGCAACATGCAAAAATTAAATAAACAGATTGCTGATATTAGACATACCGAAGTTGACCATCAGCTGTAGTTGCTTGTTCTCTGTCTTTGTGATGGTTGAAATCCAACGCAGCAAGTTGATTCCTGGCACGGTACACTGGAAATCTACAGATAAACACGTTTTACTACCATTACTGCATATTTTAATTAAAGTATACAATATGTACAATGTACTGTAAAGCTATTTTTTCCCTGGGAAAAAAGGTATATTTTCCAAATAGTTTACTTGCCCAAATACTTACGAGTATGCATGACGTTTGGGAGCATACATCAAAATAACATTATGGAACGACTCTAAAAAACCAGTGTGTCTACAAATTTAGAATGGAATAAAAATTAGTGAAAAATTAGTTGAATTCTAATGTAAATGCTTCATTCTTATTCAGTAATTCAAACATAAGGAACCTGATTATACCTGAAATTAGTGTAGTACACAAGTGTGTTCAGGAAGCGAGTATCCATGACAATCTTGGTGAGTGCTTTGAGTGCAGGGGATCCTTTCTCCAACCAGGGTTTGTTTCGGTCTTCTTCGCTTAATGGATCATGGCCACATTTTCCTGTATTACCACCTTCTTCCATCATCCACTCATGCTCATTAGCAATGTGATGTAATATCCCTGTCCATTTATCCTATTAAAAATTGCAACCCAACCTAATTCTTAATGCCATCTAAAAGTTTTGCCAGTCAGTTCACTTTGTATATACTGTAGCAGTGTATCTCAATGTTTTGTGGTTGTAGATATTCAACTACAGTAAGCTGTATACAGTACATACCATTGAACAATGAAGACCCTGGGAATGTGGGAATGAGGTTGATATCAACCTACAGTATATTACTTACTGACCTTAAAATGCATGTCCATTTTACATGAAAAAATGGTCATTTTATAAGAATGTTTATAGAAGATCTTACCTTGAGCTTTTTTGCATCATTATTACAGGTCTTTGAACAGTACCAGAAATGATTCCTGATAGATGGTGCCCACAACTTCAGTTGTTCATTATTTTTAGCTTTGGCCACCTAAAAACAAAGCATAATATTATACAGTACTTAAACACAACAATGTTAAATAGTATACAGCTGTTTTAGCACATCTTAAATATACCGTATATTAAATTTGCATTTAGCTTGAGTAACGTATTACTCAAAATTCAAAAACTTTCAGACAGCTATTATTTCAAGGTATAGAATAAATAATTGCAGGGACCACTGAGTATTTTCCTAATGCACAGAACAATAGTTACTCGGACTTTATATATGTACAATATCTTATGAAAATACTTGGTTTTATTGTATTGTTTCTGTAATACCATATACTGTAATTGTTCTTTTACTTTTATATACTTAGCTGAGTTTGGACCATATAATTTGATCAAATACTTACAGCATTAACTTTTTTCGCAATGTTTTTTCCACCATGCCATACGTCATTCTGATGGCCAACATTTCGATACTTTTCTGCCTTTTCTAATGTAAAAGAGACAATGAGTAGTACAATCATGAAATACACAGTAAAAAGTACAAACTGCAGTGAAAAGAGGCCAGGAAGTAGTGGAAAGAATTATGGAAATCACTCAGTATTTTAAGAAAATACAAAAAAACAGTAACTCCAAATAACATTTGATTTTTAATATACGTTTTGAATATTTTGTAGTCATCGTCAGGATTATTCAGAGTTACTGTTTTTTTAGTGGAAAGAGTTTGCCAACTTTTATATATTGGTTTAATTCATGTAGAAACAGAGTTGGATTAGGAATTCTTGAGATATCAATAAACATTGGTTGTTGCTTGGATGACATATCAATTTGACAAAGTTGACACTTACTCATCACTGATGCAATCTCAAGGTGACCATCTGTAACCACCTCTTTGACGATTATTGGTGATTCCATGTGAAGTGCATCCATCCCTCTTTCAAACCCAATCCTCTCCATGTTGTTGCTCTTTCCAGAGGCTTCCCTTACATCCACAACATTCATTTGGAGGATAGCGTTATCTTGCATATCTGCCAGGCTGTAGGTGCAATATTGGGCAGAATGACCAGGAGAGTCATTCCTTCCATCTCCACTCAATATGACATCTTTACCAGCCTTTTCACTCCAAAGTTGTTGCTTATGTTGTTCCCAGAACTCATTGATTGTAGGGATGATGTACAACTTCTGATACTGGTTGAACAGTGTAGATGAAAAATACTGCAGATTACAGAAGTTGAACATCAGCCCTACTTTGGTATATGAGTTACCTGACAACAACAAAGCAGACGAAAGTATCAGATTTCCTGCTCTGATCTTGTTACAAGATGGTTGAGCTGCCCATCTCCCACCAACATGCCCAGACGGACACTTCCAGGATACCACAAGGCATGTTCCCACATAGATTTTACGATAAAGCAAGGGACGACCACAATCTTGTCGTTTACAGACACTCCCATGTAGAGATGTGAGCAATGACATAAGAGTGTCTGTAAAAACAATACACTTTTCCATTTTTATGGCTTGTTCTGGGGTGACAACTTCTACGGTTGAGACACACTGATGTAATGTAGCTGGTTGGCTGGATCCGCCTTCTTCAATCCCATCATCAGGCTCATCTCCATCATGTCCATTGATAGTTACATTGAGCAAGTCATCTACCAATGGTTGATCAAAACCAGGATCAAATGATCTAAAATTTCAGGTATACAAGTATGTGCTATATATGGTATAGTTATGTATTGATAACATGGATTTACTGTCGTTCCAATTGAAGTGTTGCTCAAATATTGATTCAATACATTACCTTGGGCTGACCAATTCATTTGATCAAGTTCCTCGAGATATTCATACACTTCCTGTGAAAGAGCCAATTCCAAGTATTTGATCATTTCTGGTCACTTCCTTTCTATTTATGATTGGTTAGTTGCACAAACAACAAAGGTGATTGGTGCATTCAAACTATTCAACTGGAAGTTTACAATTATACTAGGAAGTGTATGAATATCTCGAGGAACTTGATGAAATGAATTGGTCAGCCCGAGGTAATGTATTTAATCAATATTTGAGCAACACTTCAATTGGAACGACAGTAATATATTTCTAAAGAATTCTTGACTTACCAATAAAATAATTATACTGCCTGTAATAAATTTGTATCAATAGTATAAATAACAGACTCTTACTTACTCATGAAAATCGAATTCATCAAGAGGAGACAGCAGGTCAGGGTCCCTTCTGGTGGCCGGGTCGTCAGTTAAGTCACCAATGTCACCTTCACTTTCTTCACTATCACTTTTCATGCCAGGAGAACTTGCACTCAAGGTCTCTTCACTTATGGGATATGGGTCAGATCTAATAAGTAAAAATATACAGTAAAGCTATATAGCAGAAAATTATTGGTTAAAGATAGGGTACAGTCCGGTCTGCGCATGCACACATAGGAGTTTCATGCCGTGATATAAACACTTTAATTAGGTTTTTATTTCATTTTACAAAGTGACTATATGACGGCAGCCGGTCACGGTTTATCAAATACTAAATGGCCGGCAGTCTAGTGACTATAGTTATACGGTAAGGGCGCTGCGTGCGGAAAGTTAAACGCAGTCGGGATGTGTTTTGTCTGACTTAGCATTGTTTTTTCTTAAAATTTTTTAAACTTTTTTTTCCGACTTTTCTAACTCTCAAAAGGTTAGGGTTAGGGGTTAGGGTTAGAAAAGGGTTTGGGGTTGGGGACAGGTTTATCTTATAAAAATTCAACTTTAACAATAGTCACTAGACTGCCGGCCATTTAGTATTTGATAAACCGTGACCGGCTGCCGGTCATATAGTCACTTTGTTCATTTTATGTTCTTGCAAAGCCTGATTGTTGTATCTTGATCATTGATTATACTGTAGAAGCATGAAAATATAAATAGTTGTCGAATAAAGTTCAATATTTTGAATACCGAAATGTAAACAAAGGCTTTGTTTACATACGGACTGTACCCTACCTTTAACAGTAATTTTTCATTGTTTGTTTGCATTTGTTCGAACAATGAGATGTGATAATGATAGAGTTGAGACTCAAATTACTGTACCGGAAAGACTTTGCAGACAATGTTGAAATTGTATCCACAGACAAGCGCCGCCGACTTCTTGTAGTTGTAGCGCTTGGTGTTGAACTATCAACTAGATAAAAGAACATCCTAGTTACATTCGCTTGTCATATGTGTTCATGAGCATCATATAAACGTGTTTTAATTTAATAATTACGGCAACAACAATATCTTACCAGGAAGGGGGAAATCATGTTCATTCCTGCTTCTGGTCGGAGGTGTCACTGTATCGCTTGACAATGTGCTCGCCTCGTCCGTTTGAATCTCTGCGTCGCTAAAACATGCAAATATATTTATCAATACAGTACATTATAGCTATATATGATACGAATTTAAAGCTCAAATGTTTTCTTGTCTCATGTCTTATCATCACACACCGAACGTTCAGATTCCTAGTTGCCATGTATCGATCAAGCAGCATGTTCGCAACATCCCTGTCAGTTTCTATGCCATTTTCTTCTTTGAACGCTCTCCACCGAGGAAAGCTATCAAGCAGATATACTCTTGAAGCATTCCTTCTATCAAAATATTCTTTTCTACTTGCCATTTGGCCTCAATATAAAGTATTTTGAGAATCGATTCCAGTTGAAAGCAGTCAAGCTATTCGTTCACGCTCCTCACGATGCTGCACAGAAAATGCGCGTGTTATTGACACGTTTGAGACTGGACCGAGCACAAACAGAGGATGACAACTTCCTGTGTCCCCACATAAACAAAAGTCCAGCGCATGCGCAGATGCGACTGTAACCTACCTTTAACACTATGTCAGCAAGATATCTTGCAACGATTAGCTCTGTTTTCTGTGCGCGAACATTGCGCAATTGACCAAGTCAGACAGCAACTGGAATAATTATGGCAATGTGCGTCTTGCGCAACGCAGATGCCGATTTATTAATTTTTTAAAACAATGAGATAATTATTAACATAACAAATTATAAACCGAAGTTAATTATTAAAAGTTCGCACAGAAAAGGTGGAGTAATAAATACGCCCACCACTTAGAAATTAATAACTAAACTAATTTACATATGTAATAATATTGCGTCAAGTAACGGGGAGGAGGGGGAATATCAATTGACCATTTGCGTAATAGACAAAATTTTGATCTAAACAAGCCTAGACAAAAATTTCATCACAGCTTGAAAGAGCATCACAAAATTAATAATATTCCGAAGTTTCGTTGCGAAATGTTGTAAAATGCGGATAATATAGCCTTGCGAAGTTTGCAATTTTCAGTCATTTTAGATTACAAACGGGAAATTGACAGCCTCAAAGCGTATCGGGCTGTCAATTTCCCGTTTGTAATCTAAAATGACTGAAAATTGCAAATTGCGCAAGGCTATATTATCCGCATTTTACAACATTTCGCAACGAAACTTTGGAATATTACTAATTTTGTGATGCTCTTTCAAGCTGTGATGAAATTTTTGTCTAGATCAAAATTTAGTATATTACGCAAATGGTCCATTGACTTCAGCCAGAGAGTTGACCTTGCGCGACCAGATTGAAGAGCAGAATGAATTGATGCACATACTGCTGTAGATTATATCACCACTCCTATCCGCTTCCTGCGCATTACATTCATGTTACTACAAATTATCGGAGCTAATACCCACATGTCCCATTACAATAGCTCCTTATCTCTAAAACTAGATGCAGGAAGCAATAAAATCTTTATTGGTATGCCAATAATTCCTTTATCGCTTCCTTTCCTTAACACTATGTCAGCAAGATATCTTGCAACGATTAGCTCTGTTTTCTGTGCGCGAACATTGCGCAATCGACCAAGTCAGACAGCAACTGGAATAATTATGGCAATGTGCGTCTTGCCCAACGCACATGCCGATTTATTAATTTTTTAAAACAATGAGATAATTACTAACTTAACAAATTATAAACCGAAGTTAATTATTTAAAGTTCGCACAGAAAGGTGGGGTAATAAATACGCCACGAGTCTCCTTGGGTAAAGGAGGCATACCCTATCCAATCGTTACAAGGTATCAGCAGACATAGTGAGGTTAAAACCTATATAAAAACAACCCCAAAGCAAATCAGTGCGTGGATTATTACTGTCATTATTAAGCAAAAACATGGTGAGCGACCGCCGACAGTTCGTGCCCATGCGTTAAACTGCCAGGGGACCGCCAACCTGCTAAAGCGAACAGTTGTGTATAAGCCTTGGCCATGCGTTAGCTTCACAGAGAACGTAAAACAGTGATTAAGTGACACGTACATTTCTAGTATCTTAACACGCACATTCCTATATTATATCAAGTCTTGCCCTTGCGTCGACTTGACAAAGTGCACTAAACGTCCGAAATCGGTTCTATCAACAAGCAGCCACAATCAATCCCCACAAAAAGCCTGGCCTGTATAGTCGCAGTGTCTGATTTAAGTCACAAGCTAGAAGCACGCGGAAAGCGTCGGATTTCCAACGGCCCATTAGTCGTATTTGGGCATCGGAAAAACCGCATTCGGCAGCAAATGTAGCCGCGCCGATGCGAAAACTATGTCCTTTGTACCTGTTTGCATCGAGACCGCACGCGCGAAATATAATAGCTAAATGGTCTGTGAACATTTTGCGTGAAATTGCATGCCCGTCACGAGTTTGAAAAAGAGGGCCATCAGCTAAACTACGATGTGCAAAATAGTCCAGTAAGCTCTGCACTCGGCATACGTCTGAACGTCGTTGAAGAGTGAGCGAGACGTTAGCTTGGTTGTAAGAATGCTTAAAATTCAAAAATGTTATTTTTAAACCGCTGACGTTGCCCGTATTATCCACGAGTTGAACGACCTGCCTCAATTGCAGTACGTCTGGTGACCGTGGACAACAAGTGATTTCGCCAAATCGCAAAAAGGCAAAAAATGCGGTCGTGCACATAGCTTTGAACAAGTACCCCCGATACTCACTCGAACATATAGTTGGAGTTTGCTGTAAGACGGTGCGAAGGATAGGGAGTTATGGGCAAGCGTGTATCAATGCATGACCCAAGCTTACCATAGCCTTTCAACATTTCGACAATCCAAAACACTTTAGTTGGGTCGTTCACCCCTGCAAGACGATGACAATAATCAATATCCCAGTGCAGAAACGTACGTGTTGGCCGTCGAAGCCGCATAATTGCGTTGAAACATGTACGAAATAAATAGGCTTAAGTTGGCGGGCGATATAGGCAGTGAGACTAAAGCTGAATGAAAAACTGCACTTGAAAATTGGCTATATAGTTTCCAGGCCCGGCGATAGTAGGGACCGACGATGGCTGCAAACTAGATTGAAGTGATTTAGTTGTTAGAGCGGCCAGTTGTACGGGAGTAGTTGGGCTGGTATGACCGTTGGTGACAATTGTACACCCACCGGAGCTAGCTGTTTGAACTTCGAAACCTGCAATCGAGATAAAGCGTCAGCTAAAACATTTTTGACACCCGGTACATGGCGAGCGCGGAATAAAATGTTAAATTTCAAACAAGCCAGCACCAGTCGGCGAACAAATATCATAACAGTCACATCGCGTGAAGTGGCTTTATTTATAATATCGACCAATGCCGCATTATCCGTAAAAAAGGTGATACGCTGGTTTCGCATCTTATCTCCCCATACGAGTACGCTGAGTACAATTGGGTAAAATTCCAAAATCGCGATGTTTAATTGCCTCCAATTGGGGGGCCACGCATCGAAAAACCACTCATCGCCGAATACAGCACCGTAGCCCAAACTACCGGCAGCATCGGTATATAGGTTTAAACTGAAGGAATCATTCCAAGCATCACTGAGAAAAAACGATCGGCCATAAAATTCGTCCAAAAAGGACTGCCAAATGGCCAGATCGGCCTTAACCGATTTAGTTAGACGAATAAGGTGGTGCGGGAACTTGATGCCTCTAGTCAAATCAATAAGACGGCGCAAGAAAGCCCGACCAGGGACAACTACCGAGCGAGCAAAATTAAGTAAACCGGTTAACGATTGTATTTCACGCAAAGTAACTTTTTTGCGACGCAGAAAGCCAGATATTAGAGACTTGCATTTATTGGTCTTGTCGTCTGGTAAACGGGCTTCCATGCGCAAAGTGTCTAATTCAATACCAGCAAAGGAGAGAATAGTTTGTGGGCCAACAGTTTTGTCCGGTGCGATTGGTATGCCTAAATATTTACAGAGAGATAAGAAGCGGACAAGGTCAATGCGACCTTGGTGATAAGTAGGTGACGCCATTAGATAATCATCAAGAATGTGGATTAGATGTGGGATTTGCAAGTGTTTCT